GACCGTTATCGTTAAATTTCGGATGGAGTTGTTTTTAGTCGGGTCTGAATTTATGTATTTCGACCAGCGCGCCTGAGATCTTATATAGAGATAATTTGACGTTAAAATAATGCTGGTTATTTCATTACCTAATGTTAGTTATTCATTTATCAAAATTTTTATTCCGTTATTCATCGCATTTCATTCCTACTGTTAGTCACCGTTACGTTGTGTCTCGCCCGTTGATTCAGAAAAGCATCGGCACAGAAGCCCGGCCCTTGTACACAGAATCCAACGCTACATCAGAGGGTCAGATCCCTCCTTCCTCCATCCAAGCCCTTATACCTCCTCCCCTTTCCCCCAACAAAACAATAGAAACACGGATACCAGCTTAGGTTTCAGGTGGTTATGCGAGTGCCCGAATCAGATGCTAGTGCCTGTAGATAAGGGAGATAAGGGGCCCGTAAGTGCGTGTGTCCGTGGAAGGGCAGGTGCTGATAGGCTGCGTTCGACACGAGAGATAACGACGCGCCAAAAGGTGATCAGGGGTTGCAGGAACGAGCCAGCAGCCCACAACGAGAGGGCGCCACTAGAATCTTAACGCTACAATTAGTCAGTTAACGACCCTAAATATTTGGTGCACGTCTTCTGCACGCTGTTCCTTCCTTGTTTTTCGAGTTTTTTTTGCTATTCTTTTTTTTTATTACTTTTTCTTTTTACCTTGAAGAATTATTGGATTGTAGTAAGGTTCTTCCTCCCCCCTCCCACCCCTGTCTCTCTCTCTCTCTCTCTTTTTAAGGGAAGACTTAAATTATGGTTCTGTTTATACGTGTATTTTAGCTTCATCTTTTTTACGGACGTGTGTTTGGTTTTGGCAGATTATTAGATGGTTTAAAGGGGTGTTTCTATGGGCTATGAGTTATGATTGTTACTGAGTATATATGGAACAGAAAGGAGAGTTAAAAAAAAAAAAAAGTTAAGAGAGAAGATAAGAAGATGAATGTGTGTGTGTGTGTGTGTGTGTGTGTGTGTGTGTGTGTGTGTGTGTGTGTGTGTGTGTGTGTGTGTGTGTGTTTCTATATGTGTGCGTGTCTGTGTATGTCTGTAAGTATGTGTATGTATTTGTGTTTGTGTGCGTGCGTGTGTGTGTTTCTATATGTATGCGTGTCTGTGTATATCTGTATGCATGTGTATGTATTTGTATGTATGAGCCTGCTTGCATGTGTATGTGCCCATATGTATATTTGGAGCCTGAAATCCCTGTCCACACAGTCTCCGTAATAAGGTAAATAAGGGATGAAGGTCAGTAAGAAAGCGAGGGTACGGATTTCCCTGGACTTGGAACTGAAAGACGACGAATATGCTGTCGGTGCAGAAACAGGGAAAGGGAGGGAGAGAGAGAGAAGGAGGGGGAGAAAGAGAGAGGAGGAGGGGGAGAAGGAGGGAAAGGGGAGAGAAGGAGGGAAAGGGAGAGAGGAGGGAAAGGGAGAAAGAAGGAGGGAAAGGGAGGGAGAAGGAAGGAAAGGGAGAGAGATAAAGGGGTGAAAGGAAGACAGAGAGAGAAGGGGTGAGAGGGAGAGAGGGGAAGTTAGAGATACAGAGGAAAAGAGAGAGAAAGGGAGGGAGGGAAAAGGAGAGAGGGAGGGAAAGAGAGATAGAAAGAGTGAGTGAGAGAGAGAGAGAGAGAGAGAAAGCCAGCCAGTCAGACAGACACATAGACAGAGACAGACAGAAAGAGACCAAAAAAAAAAAAAAAAAAAAAAAAAGGATAGAAAGCTCGACACAAAGAGAATCACAAATAGATAGAAAGCGACCCTGAGACCTTCCTTCTACTCTTCTCTCTTCTCTCTTTCTCGGAGTTCTCCTTTACGACTTTCGGAATCGAGTCCATTTCTGAGACTTCTTTCTCAGAATCCGCGTCCGTAAGTGATTAAATCTGAAACGTTTGCAGAGAGACCTTTTGCCGAAGGGGAGAGTTATTGAAGAATTATATTCATTGGGGGAGAGCTATTGAAGAATTATATTCATTGTAGGGAACGGTAGATGGTGTGTAAGAAAATGTTTTCGGGGAATTCAAATACGCAGACATATGGGAGTATATGTAGTAGATTTAAAGGGCTTTTAATTTCCATTTAATTAGAGGTATTTTATCTAATTCGGCGAAAGAGGTGTAGTTTGGTGCGTGGATGGTGTCTGCGATTTCCTTTTCAACTTCCTTTTTTGTTCTTAGATTTATTCAGTCTTCTTTTCTTTCTTTTTTTGCAATTCTCGTATACTTTCTTTTCTCAGATTTTTTTTTCTAGAACGCTGTTCATGTAGACGTACGTGATCTGTCTGTCTGTCTGTTTGTCTGTCTGTCTGCCTATTTCTCTCTCTCTCTTTCTCTGCCTATTTCTCTCTCTCTCTCTCTCTCTCTCTCTCTCTCTCTCTCTCTCTTTCTCTCACTCTTCTCCCTCCTTCCCTCTTTCCCTCATCCATGTTTTATCCCCCTTTCACCCTCTTCCCCCACCAGGTAAAACAT